TGCAACAGTAATTCGTCAATCAAATTCATGTTTCGTTCTTGGAATTCGTCACTCATAACCTCAGATTCATCATCACTACCACCAGAATGTGATGGTGGTTGAAGGGAATTAGGTATGTCCAATATTGCTGTAATGATTTGATTTCTGTATAGTGATTTGATTTCTGTAATTTGGTTTCAACAGAAATGTGTTGTGTATTTGGTTTCTGTAATTTGGTTTCAATTAGAGGACATGGCTTCAACAGTAATTTGGTTTCTGTATAGTGATCTGTAAAAGCAAATCTTTGATAATGTGTTGTTGATCTGTTAAAAATAGAAGTTGTGATTTCTGATCAAGTGTTGTTGATAATGTGCTGCTCTATGATCAAGTGCCATAGTTCAATTGGACCTGCTGCTAAATGTTTTCTATAGTTGTATCACTTTAACAATTGATCTGCATCTAGTTTGGAATGGTTGTAACATTATTTTTCCTAATAAAAAAGTAGCTGACAGTGCTTAGGCTTTCACTGAAGACTTATCACTGGTTAAATACTTGCAGGAAATGGATATTTTTACAACATGTTGGTTGAAACCAATCTAGGGGATTTTGATAATTATAGCAACACAAATGCTGACCATGAGTCACAAGCAATGCAAGTTAGTCCAGCAGTCCCCTCTGCGAGGCCAAACCATAAGAGATCAAAGAATTTTAGTGACCACGAAGATGAGGTTTTGGTTTCAGCGTGGCTGAATATAAGTTTGGATCCGGTCGTAGGCAAAGATCAAAAAGGTGGCAGGTATCGGTCTCGTATCTGTGACTATTTCCATGAGCACAAGACGTGCCAATCAACGCGTACCATTAATTCTCTAATGCACTGGTGGGAGACCATACAGAAATGTGTGAACAATTTTTGTGGATGTCTAACACGGATTGAGTTAAGGCGTCAAAGTGGTACTACAATGCAAGACAAGGTAATTACTCACTTGTCGAAGATGGATTTGTTTCAACTATTTTTATTATATCTCAAAAATGAATATCCCTTGGATGTTGGTGTGTGCAGGTTGCAGAGGCATGTGCTTTGTACAAGGCCGAAGACCAACATAACAAAGCATTTCAGTTCATGCATTGTTGGGATAAGCTGAGAACACAACCGAAATGGCTTGCTAAACTTGATGAATTGGCTGCTGCTAAAACATCTAACAAGAAGCAGAAGACAAGGCCTATTGCTGATCCGAGTGCAACTTTACCAAGTGAAATAGGACAAGATGCAGTTGAAGACTTAGATGCTAATGCATTGACAAGGCCAATTGGTAAGAAGAAAGCAAAAGCAGCACTGCTGCAAGAGAAGAAAAAAAGTGTGACATCAACCTTAGAAAATATGTGGGCACAGTTAAAACAAACTGATGAGGAGAAAGAGCTAAAGAAAGATCAGAGGTTCAACAAAGCATTTACTCTAGAACAGGAACGAGTAGCAAATGAAAAACTACTTCTTGAGGTGAGGAGACAGGAGGTCCAATTGCAGAAAAAGAGGGATGAAGAGAGGATTATGACCATGGACCTTAGTGCCATGCCAGATGAGCAAAAGAAATACTACATGTGCTTGCGGGCTGGGATCATGAGCCGAGTATTTAATTAGAATTCTATTCTTCTAAATAGTACTAGTAGCTACTGTAATTTTTTTTTTCTCATATGGTACTGTGTGATGTTTGAACTTAATTTTTATTTGAATCTTCTAAAGAGTATTAATAGCAATATAGTTTAATCGCAATCATAGTAGCACCGACTGATCTTCCATGTTTATGCAAAACAATGAAAAAGCATCAAAAACAGGAAAAGTATAGGTAATTTTATAAACTAATTTAGTCAATTTGACATTTTTTCCGTTATCTACACGAATATTTTTTACAAGGTTGATTCAAAGAAAAGAGAATTTAGCATTGAATCTGCTACATGAAATTAAAAAAAATCTGCTACATGAAATTAAAAAAAAAAAAAAAGAAGATATAAACATTGAATCATTAATTTCTAATTTATAAAAATTGTCATTACAATAATACTCATGAACATATAAAAATAATCATTTGTACAGGTCTGGATGATGTTTCCACAGGTGCTCAATGAGGTCATCTCGAAGTTGACTGTGAATTTCTGTCCTTTATATTTTTGTAATTCTTAATAAACTCCTCAAGTTTAGGTGTCGCATCATGAGAAATCTTCACATTTTCTCCCACTCCATCATAAATTAAATCATGTTCCTCATCGCGCTCATCCTCAACTATCATGTTGTGCATAATGACACAAGCTCGCATGATTTTTCCGAGGGTGTCTTCATCCCAAAATCGAGCCGGTCCCTTGACGATTGCGAAACGAGCCTGTAGAGCCCCAAACGCTCGTTCAACGTCCTTCCTACAAGCTTCTTGGGCAGTTGCAAAATATTTCTTCTTATTACCTTGTGGTTCAGGTATGGTCTTCACAAATGTAGCCCAAGAAGGATATATGCCATCGGCGAGATAATAACCCATTGTATATTTGTTGTTATTAATAGTATAATTCACCTTTGGAGCTTGACCTTCAGCTAGCTGTGCAAATAAAGAAGACCGGTGCAAAACGTTGATGTCGTTGTGGGAACCAGGCATCCCAAAGAAAGCATGCCAAATCCAAAGATCTTTAGAGGCCACAGCTTCAAGTATAATTGTAGGCTCATGCACATGCCCGGTGTACATACCTTGCCATGCTGAAGGACAATTTTTCCACCTCCAATGCATGCAATCAATCGAGCCAAGCATACCAGGAAAACCTCTACTCTCTCCAATTGCTAGTAACCTAGCAATATCATCTTCATTAGGTGATCTCAAGTACTCATCTCCAAAAACCTCCACAACAGAACTGACAAACCTTCTCAGACTCTCAATAGCAGTACTCTCGCCAATACGTACATAATCATCTGTAGCATCAGCTGCTATTCCATAAGTTATCATCCGGAATGCTGCAGTGATCTTTTGCAGACTAGACAACCCAAGTATACCGGCAGCATTTCTTTTCTGTACGAAATATTGATCTTGTTGTTCCACGGCATTCCATATGCGTACAAACAGTGTACGCCTTATTCGAAACCTGTAATTCAAAAGTAATGAGACATACTTTATTTATGGCTAGCTTTACGCTTTCCTTTATATGGATTTATAAAAAAAAAATGTCCAAATAAATCTATTGTTTACATACCTTCGTCTAAAATAACTATGTCCGTACGTAGGATCATCTGAAAAATAATCTTGGTACAACCTATGATGTCCTGCGTGTCTGTCTCGCTCAAGTACTCGATGCCCTAGGATAGAACCACGGTGTTTTGTTTCATCATCAAACTCATCGGCATTCATGGCCACATGAGTAACAGAGAGGACGAACTCATCATCGTCATCATCCGACAACGAATTCATCGCCAGCTGCATGGAAAGGTTTCGTCGACTCATACCGAATTTGGAGATCGCAGCGAAGACGTCTAGGGAGAGCTCCTAGCGGCGGCGCTGAATATGCTGTGGGGAAGTTCTGTGTGTGGCAATGGGCCCAATTACAATGACGTGGCCTGTTTTAAAATATTAGGGACTAGTTATTAGCAATCTGCTGTGGGTTGATAAGTTTTTAGGGAAGTTTTCTTTAGGGAGAGCCCCCAATACATCGTTTTGGGGAAGCACTTTTTGGGAAACTCTTGGAGTTGCTCTAAAGCACACAAATGGCCAAATCTGCTAAAATCTACAAAGTACAAAGGTTAAAAAAAAAATAATAAAATAAAAAAGAAAGGAAATGAAACTGACAGTAAAACATAACAATATTAGCCATAACAAAACCCCAAAAAAAAAAGAAGAAGGAAAAAAAAAAGGTGACTGTGCATTATAGTTTTCATTTGGCCATAGCCGCTTAACAAGAACCATCATCTTTGAACGGGGCAGTTGCACTTTTTTAGTTTTATTTTTCTTCCTTCCTTTTTTTTGTTAATTCAAAATTTAACGATGTTATGATTTCTGTTAGTTTCAAGACTAATATTGATAGTTTTACAAGATTTAGGTCCCGAATTGAGAAAAATAATCTTTCATGCCCCGATTTAATAGTTAACATATCTTTCGGGTCTTATATTGAAAAAACTCTTTTTTTTCCCTTTTTGCTCAACTTTTTTTTTACTTGACCGATTATGTGCCATAAAATAGTCTATATTTTGTTTAAACAGTTCATGTGGTATTTTTTTTTTTTTTGCACAAATCTTTCACTTTTTCTTAATCGATATAAAAATAATATCCACTTGTGTAATGGTCGGTTTTGGTTTTCATGAAATTTTTAATTTCATCTGATTTGTGATATTTTGACGGTTTTGTGATCCGATTCGTACCTATGTTTGTTTCGTGATATTGTGTTGATCTGATTCTTCGATATGGATCGTATGGATGTGTACTCTCCTATTAGTGTTGTCTTATCATGGGATAATTATAGACTTTGGCACAGTCTATGAAGAGTTTTTTAATTGGGAGAAAATTGTGTTGGATTATGACTGGTGATGTGTTGCCACCTCTGCATCCGTCTCTTTCTGGGGATCCCAACCCTACACCACATGTAATACTTTTGTCCATGCTATTCAGGTGCAGTTTGCCCCGTTTGACAGTGCAAAAGAGGCTTGAAATTTTTTTGCTGCTCGATTTCATACTACATGGTTGGCTCATTATTATCAGCTTTGGAGCACCTTGCATTCCACCAAGCAGCAATCGGGTTAATCTGTCAATGAGTTTCTGGCACAAGTTCAACCTATTTGGTATCGTTTATGATAGGCAAAGATTAGTTCAGATACCTTGATCTTATCCAGGTTTTGATGGTTCTTCGCCATGAGTAGGAGGTTGTTCGTGTTTCTCTCTTACATCGTCATCCACTGCCTACTCTTGATTTTGTTATTCAAGATATCACTTTTGAGGAGACTCGTCTTCAGTTGGCTAGAACACCACAGCTTGAGTCTGCATTAGTTGTGCCTACTTCCGCTCCGCTCCGTCGCATTAACCTCAGCCTCCAGTCCATGTTTATTGAAGGATTTGCAAGAGCTCTAGTCACACTTTTGCCACTTGTTCTAAAGTAGGGTGCCACATCTGTCATGCTCGGGGGCATATTGCTCCAAATTATCCAGCCAAGTCACAATGTTCTGGAGGTTCATTTTCTCGATTTGGAGGGTCTCGTGGGTCTTCTTCATCGACCCTTTCTTCGGTTACAACGACTATCACTAATGAGCCTCAACACTCGTCTTACACTCTTCAAGACATAGAAGCTATTCTCAAATAGGGTATCCATTCCAATTCTGCTATGTCTGCTACCGCAGGTAACACTCATTAGTGCTTTGATTCTGGTTGTTGTAATCACATGACCACTAGTTCACAGTTTTTGTCTTCTTTGTCTTCCGTAACTTCTTTACCTCATATACATACTGCCAATGATACCCATATGAATATTACTCACACTGGTCTAGTTTCTTTCCCTTCTCTACACCATCCTGACACATACTACATTCCTGATTTGGTCTTGAATCTTATTTCTGTTGGTCAACTAGTTGAACAAGGTCTTAATGTTATATTTTCATCTTCTGGTGTTCAGGTTCAGGATACACAGACGGGACTACTTCTCGGGACGGGTCGCAAGATAGGCCAGTTATTTGAGATTGAGTCTCTTCATATCTCTCGTTCTTTCTCATTTTCTGCTCATGTCCCCGATAATAAGTCCATCTTTCAGTGGCATCTTTGTCTTGGGCATACGTCTTCAAATAGAGTTCGTTCTTATATAATAAAGGTTTTTTAGGTCGAGGTCATTTTAAGTCTATAAGTTGTCTTCATTGTAAGCTTAGGAAACACTCAGACTCTTTCTTTTTCTGAGAATTTGTCAACTGTTGATAAACCTTTTGGTTTGGTACATTCCGATATTTGAGGTCATTCTCCGGTTGCTTCTATGAATGGTTTTTGGTACTATTTAATTTTTGTTGATGATTTTTCTCGTTTTACCTGGATTTATTTTCTCAATAATCATTCTGAGGAGCCCACCATATATATTCAATTAGTTAGAATGATTCACACACAATTTTCTTGTCCTATTAAGGTCTTGTGTACTGAAAATGCCCTTGAGTACAAGGATTCTACATTTTTAAAATTTCTTTATGATCAGGGCAAAGTAGTTCAACGTTCCTGCCCTTATACTTCTCAACAAAATGGACGAGTTGAACTTAAGCATCGTCACATTCTTGACATTGTTCGTGCTATTTTCTTTCTGCTAAGTGTCCTGGTTGTTTTTGGGGTGAGGCAGCCTTGACTGCTATTTATACTATCAATCGATTACCCTCATCAGTTCTTCGGGATATCAGTCCTTTCGAAAGGTCGCACAGTCAGTCGCCTGATTATACTCAGTTACGCTCTTTTGGTTGTGTTTGCTTTGTTCTTCTCCCATCCCATGAGCAGAACAAATTAGAACCTCGAGCTCGTTTGTGTTGTTTTTTTTTTTTTGATAGAACACAAAGGGTTTAGGTGTTGGGATCCTATTGATAATTGGTTGCGTATTTCACGTCATGTTATCTTTTGTGAGCATACTACTTTTTCTTCTTTGTCTGAGTTTCACATTCCG